ATATTCAATAATGCAGTAAAATGCACAGCAGTCTTGTAGTTTATTTATTGTTGCTTAAACCATTACTCACAGATCATCAACTTATGTTAATTGTTGTTCAGTCTTGTAGTTTATTTAAATACATGAATGTGAGATTTGTATGTGACTTTTACGTGACTGTACTACAAAAATAGTATGCAATAGAGATAAAAAAAAATAGTATCCGTTTATTTCTGAAATACAGAGGGAACTTTAATTTTAATTCATTTCCACCTGAATTCATAAACCCACCACACGCCACATGAGGCCTGTACTATGGTATAGCTGAAATGCCAAGGAACTTGAATGTCAAGCCATGGGAATATTATAGTGTTTTATAGGACTTTCACTGTGTTTTTTTTTTACAGTTTTTTTATTACTTTTTTTTGTAGGAACGTGTTTACCTGCAGTCCAGTGTCATTCGAAAGGTTCACGCGGGCACGCTACTGCGCGGAGGTGTTGATCTTGAAGCTGTTAGAAACCAACTTCATCACTGACACAAGATTGGATGGATTAGCAGGCGGTGTTTCGGTGGATTTACGGTAAATATCCACTTAATCCAGTGCTCTTTTGTATTGTGTTATCAATATCCTGCTAGAAACGCCACAGATGATTCAGTGAGTGAGGCGTCCGCGTCATAGCGAACTGATTCAGGGCTGCGGTTCCCAAAAGCATAGTAAGCCTAAAGCTGGCCGCACACTAGACGATTTTAAGGCCGATTTTAAGGCCGATTTGCATCCCCGAACGTTCGGGGGTGTGGCCCAATTCACGGCTTGTCGCAAACGATTTTTTGTCCAAAATATCCTCTATTGTGTGGTGTCATTACGATTATTTATCTGCTCCCGATCAGTGACGGAGCGTCCCCGAACTCAAATCGTAAATATCAAACATGTTTGACATTTACGACTCTTGATTGGGCTGCCTCTGACATGATACCCGCGATAGCCAATGAGAGCGAGCAAGCGTCACCTACCGGATGTTGCGTGCTTCTATAGCTGAAACTTGGCAGCCACAAACATGCCATGAAAGCAGAGACCATCACCCATATTCTTTTTTTATACTTTGTTTTTCACTGTGAAACAGAATGTGCGGCAGGGGAGCCAGCTGACAACTGATTGTCCTCTATTTGTTTTTCTTCTCTAGTCACGTTTGATCTCGCGAGTCTCCGTGAGATCTCGTGTCACTGTGAAATCGTTCCTACAATCATCAAAGGTGCGTTCCGATTGACAGGGTCCCTACACAGTGTTCACTGCTCCCTACACCCTAAGCAAGGGATATCCGTTGTAGTGGACATCACTGACAATAATCGCTCATTTGGAACGCCCTGGAACGTCATCAAAGAAAGGCAACGATGGGGTCACGCAGATTATTATATAACATAAATAAATATTGTAATTTATTTTATTTCAAATTTAAATACATATAAAATACATTTGCAATTATGTATCTAATAAATATAGTCAAAATGTATATGTTTAGACTGTTAACAGATTGTTGTGGTCTCATCTTGTGCGCTTAATTCCCACATGCAGCCTCAAAGTTAACTCTCCTGAAGTAAATTAAGTAAAATAAAAAAATTACAGAACCTCAGCTCTTTCTCCCTGGTTTTACTTAGTTTCACCTATTCATACAATACAATATGCAAATGTAACATTCATGGTCATAACCATTCATACATACTCTAATTTGTATAACAACAACATTTATTGCAAACCCCTACATCGCAGAGCCTTTTAAAAACTCTTCTAACGGCTCTGCTCCATCGTTAGTTCTGATCACCCATATTCTTTTTTTATACTTTGTTTTTCACTGTGAAACAGAATGTGCGGCAGGGGAGCCAGCTGACAACCCCGAAGACTCGAACCAGGTGAACTACTTGACTAATTCCAGTACAGAACCTATAGGATGTTGCGCATGCGCGACTGAACGAATCACTCCCCGAGACGACTCGTTCTTCCCGAGTCACATTAAAGATTCGTTCAAAACGAACGAATCGTTCAAGAACGACCCAACACTAGTTCGCAGTGCCCTTCGAACTGAACATGTTCACTCCCTTCGGATTGGAATCTAACTTAAAATGGCGGAATACCCTGTGAAATAGAAAGGGGAAAACATTTCAATAATTAAACACTGCATCATCAGCGTTGGTATTGTATTAGATACTTGCACTTAACATTACATGAAAATCAAGCTCAAATGGAGTTTTTGACCAGCAAATGACGGAGATCTGTGTTTTGTCTGTCAGTAGAAAGACCGCATCTGAGGCAGCATGTGCATCGCATATACGCTTTCATCAACTTTTACAGGTTATGTAACATTTATTGTAGTTATATGGGCGCTTAGTTTTTCTTGTTGTTTAATACACTTGGCCAAAATCTCATGATATAAACGATGAAGCGCTATATGCACAGGATATTTAAAACATACAAAAGTATATTGGCTACAACTAGACAGCAAATAGCCTACTTCTCCGCTCTTCAAACACACAAAAAATATTAGCCTTTACAGACATAGTGTTTGAAAAAGAAAACGCTGTACTTATTCAAACATCAGTTATTTAGTTACCCTTGCATTGCGAACAAGCGGAGATCTGTCTCCTCCAGCCCAGGCTGTGCGCGGCGCGTCAATCAGAATGGAGGCGGGGTGAAGTTACGAGGTTTCGCTGGCAGTTTGAGGATACAATGGCGTTACGAAGTTTTACTGACAAGCTCTTTTTAATGCTTATCATGGTTGAAATATTTGTAAAACCCTCTGAGTTAAAATAATAACAAAAAATATAATAGAGATATGAAGTTTGGATAATTTTAATAACTGCCATTCTCTGCCATACGGAAATGACCCTGGTGACAATGGTTCTACGATTAACTTATGACTATTCATTGATTCATTGATTCACTAGTTCTGGTTAAGAAAACAATAGACAAGCCCCGTTTGTCCTATTTATTTTAGCATATTCTGTTCTATTTTATGGTTATATTTTACACTTTAGCTTTGACAGGTGCAACATAAGAGATTTGTTGATAGCCTCTTTGATGCCATGTGAAACAGTTATGGTTAGGTTAATTGACCTTAATAAAACAAGTGACATATATAGGGTGGTTATTAAATGTATCTTTCAACTTTAACACTTTTTTAACACTACAAAGTTTTGAGCAGCAGACATGAATTTTCATGATCGTTGCATCGCGCTGCGTAAACATAAAACCATGTCTGCATTTGTGATCGGAGAAATGACAAACAAGCGCTACTCTACACTGCTTAAAA